CACGACCCGTCAACGTCCATCCTCCAGCCTGACTACAAGGTTTTCCCCATAAATGGGAGCATTAGAGATGCGATAGCTTAACCATATGCCCCTAGGATTACAGTAAGGGAATATGTAGTGGAGTACCCTCTTCCTCTCTGGCTCTTTCTCCATTGCATGCCAGAGGTGAGATGAGCCCCAGTAATTGATAGGAGATAATTCCTCCTTAAATGTCCCATAAAACGCGGTTCAGCCTTATAAGCAACTTTTAGCAGATCAAGACCCGCACACCGGTCATCCGGTGATTGGCGCATCGGATTGCAATCATCCACTATGAAGAAGGAGCCATGCTTTTTCATGCGTATGCAGTAGCATAGCGACTGCCTCCTATAAATACTGCAACCCCCGTGTACGACTTGCCAACATCTGATGCCAGGTCTGAAAATGGGTTCGAACTGGAATCCGGAACGTCAAACGAATAAATTTATTGTCCCAGCGATCACGTCTTCTTATTCTTCTCACCGAGACGGTACAGGTCAAAGAATGACTTATCACAAACAACGAATAACAGCCCTGTTATTAGAGGGTGATAATGATAACTTGCTAGCATCTATCACCCCCTTTTCCCAATTAGGTCATGGCCCAAGGCAGTGCAATCGGAGATGGCCGCAGAAGTACTAAGTGAAGCCATGGTTACGCGCGACATATACTTACTGTTTTCTATACCCCACTCCCTTTGTTTTTTTTTCAATGGGAGCCGCACTCTTGAAACCCTAGTACGTGCTATGGAAACTAAGTCGTGCGTGGCGCGCTATTTAAATGTGTCAAGCACGAGATGCACGTCCCCTTCTGGTCGTCTCATCGAGTTTTCTTGCTATCGGTGAAAGGTGCGATTTGTCTACTGAATCCAAGAGATTCGAAAACATTTAAAAAGAACTGGCGGACAGCAAAAAAGTATTCCCACTTTCTGCAAAAAGGATTTAAAGATTCGGGTGATTCTGCAGTACAAGTTAGTGGTCCTTAGCAAAATATTTATTGTATGTATGTAAGAGAGAGACCGAAACCTCTTAGTAGGTCAATACCATTCCAAACAGTAAAACACGAAACCATTGTAAAGCCATTTTAGTAATTGTTTGTAATATGTTTAACATTCACGGTTTTCCAAACGTACGAGAACTGCGAAAGGGGTGTGAAGACGCGCACTTTCGAAACGTGATCTAAAATACTAAAACAAGTATATGGGCCTTATTTTTCTCAGGGCTGCAAAAGCAGCAGAAAAAAGGGTGGCAGTGTGACAATTCACAATAAAATACGCGTTTGCAACGACGCCGAATGTGAAAAAAAGCCTAGCATACGATAAAGCCTCTTGATAAAATAGTAATCACTTTTTCAAGGCGATGCCACTCGTTGGAGAACTGTCATTTTTCCGATTCTGACGTGGCCTACGTGTGATTCATTTTTTAAATTCATTGTTATACACAAAAGTGGAAGAAACCAACAAATTCAAATGTTTAAACCATCACAGGAATAGCATTAATTCCTTCAAAAGGCTACGGTGTAATCTAAATCACATATAACATACTGAAACCCAGCGCTCTGGTAGATATCACTTTCAGCAAGCATAGAAAGTTCTTCGTCGTGTCCACACAGGAGCTTATTTTTAAGAAGTTTCTTCCCGGGACTAATTTAAAGCAAAGAATTTTTAAAGTCAAACTCCAAAATTGCCCTTCTTGCCGTGATAGCTCGACACCCCCGTAGACAGTAAATACTTTATCAATCGGAATTTGCACGAACAACTCGGACGCCGCACTACCTAAAGGCGGCTTTACTATGAAGGAAAACACATTGCCCGTGAAAAACCTGGACCACAGGATATCGCCAATCTCGACTTCGTAATTCGTACTTCTTTGAGTTACATGTCTTTTTACCCTTTTCGATTGCAGCCTTTTCAATGGATTGGACGCCACCTAATAGATGATGGCGGTGCTGCATTCACACGCGTAAGAAGGCCCTAGTAATTCAAGTGGTTCTGTGCAAAATCCCAGGAAGCTTTACGTCTATCGGCAAAGGTAGTTTAAGTAGTCCACCTCATATACCCCTAGTCCCAGCATTTTGTCT